CTTATTTTTATCCCTGCTATCAGTTGGACTCTGAGGACAGCAATGTTTGTTGGTCAGTCAGTCAGTCTACCAACTCGGTCCACACTGAAATACCTTTACAACTATTGGATGAATTGATATGAAGTAGCAGAGGATGAATCCTAATAATGTTGGTTATCCCCCTGACTTTTCCTCTGGCCCCACCTTGAGACCTACTGACTTTATTTTAAGCGTACTTAATATTCATGTTGTTAATCACGTGAACCTGCTTTGACTCGTCACCATGTCTGTACAGCTGATGTGGCGGTCTCCCTTACAGAGGAACTTCCTGTTATTCTTGTGTTGTGGTGGATATGGACACTGCATAGTTACTGGATGTCCCACAATGCCGCTCAGTTCACTTGATTTCACACAGCACCACTCTGTCAAACAGAAGGAGATTTGAGCAGGTGTAGGAACTCACAATGAAAATGACTATCAGAATTTACAGTATTTGTATAGCACTTTCATACAAGCAAAATGTAAGACGAAGTGCTTCACACATTAAAACACAATCTGGGGCAGATTGGAGAATCAAGATACAACAACTTCCTGTTTCATGGCAAAATGACGATTTTTGACGGAAACGCTGTTTGACGAAACCTCAAGCTTTTGACACATTTTCATCGTGAATGTCTTTAGAGTGTACTGACCAAATTTAAAGATCTATTCTCCAGGAGATTGTTCAAATAAAATGGCTGGAAGTGGCAAAAACCATGGCAACAGGGTTCAATGAAGATTTTTTTAAACTTATTTAGTTAGCATCATGAAGTGATGTGACTGCTTATTAACCTGGCACTACTTCCACTTTTACTTCAGCAGGGTAGGTATCGTGCAGGTGCTGAGTAACAATAATAAAATAAGGTCTGCATCAGGTGAGGAAAACAGTTTGTGGTGGAAACATTTCAGTGCACATGTAGAAATAAATAAGAACTGAGAACAAGACAGCATGTGGGTTCTTTTTGGTTTTCTTGTACAGTTCTTCAGTCAACATTGAAGAACTTACTGCAGAAAATGATAAGCTGGTTTTGAATGCTCCACATCTCAATGTTACTGCAAGGGAACATAGAAATGACTGCTTATGCGGTTGGAAAAAAGGAAATGTATGCACTGTGACAATTTATGAATATTTCACAAAAACTAACTATGTGTTTAATGTTGACGATATTACACCTCACAATACGTGTTAACATGTCACACAAATACAGACAACATTTTCTATTGCACTAAACTTCTTGGGGACCTGAACCAGAAATCTAATATGGGGCCCCTGTTGAGAGTTAAAGCTGTGAATATGTATATTACATAGTAATTTCATGGCAATTATGTATAAATAATTACAAAGACCAACCTAATCCACACAGTAGGAAAGTTTGACCCTAGTGGTACATGGACAGGCCTATATGTTGGTCAGCTGTTTATTGAGAAAATACAAGTTTCAGCTGTTGTACAGATTGCAGCTGATAACATCTGGTGAGGTTTTGTCAGTCTTCATCTGCATTGTCACAGTACACATGCTCTGTTGCTTGGAGCATAAATCTAAAAAAACAGACACTATCAAAGATAGTATGTCTCAGCATCACCTGCTTTCTTTCCTGTTATTGCTGATACTTAAAGGCCAGGTCCAGTGTGTAGCATTTAGTGGCATCAAGTTATGTATTTGCCAATTGCTTTACTTCACCCTCCCCTTCAAGCACGAAAGAGAAACTACTGTGGCTGTAAAACTTGCAAATTTATATCTG